GGAACAAGAGCTCAAAATGTGGGCTGGAAATAGGAGATTGTTACAATAAATACAGGTATGGAGCAAGAGCTCGGAATGTGGGCTGGAAATAGGAGATTGTTACAATAAATACAGGTATGGAACAAGAGCTCGGAATGTGGGCTGGAAATAGGAGATTGTTACAATAAATACAGGTATGGAGCAAGAGCTCGGAATGTGGGCTGGAAATAGGAGATTGTTACAATAAATACAGGTATGGAACAAGAGTTCGGAATATGGGCTGGAATATAGGATTTTTATTTTGTGATATCTGAATGGTAAAGTGTCAGTGTTAAATAAAGTGTGAATTAATACATTTTTACGAGTTTTGATGTAGAAAATATTGTCGTAGATTTTGGATTTAGTAACTACTTTGAACCTGGTAAATGTCTTTCAACGTGGTGTGGAAGCCCCCCATATGCTGCCCCAGAACTGTTTGAAGGAAAACAATATGATGGGCCAAAAGCTGATATTTGGGTAAGGCAGAATTTTCAAAAGTTAACTAATTGAATTTTATATCATTCGATATCTATTTATTCATTTAACAATCAGTCATGCAAGTTTTCAAATGTCGCTCACTTGACGTAAAATCTGTTAATTCACAGTTTCTCTTTGATGTTACAACAAAAATTTTCATCTTCGTATTATATTTGAATGTTGTTGTTTTTTGTGTGTTAAAAAACTTAATAGTTTTATTTGGGCAGAGTTTGGGGGTGGTTCTCTACGTGCTTGTCTGTGGAGCACTTCCATTTGATGGTAGCACGCTTCAAAGTTTACGAACTCGGGTTCTGGCTGGAAAAATTCGTATACCTTTTTTCATGTCTACAGGTATGTGTTTGTCTAATGTACAATAGTTATAAAAAGTATTTGCTCCTCCAGAATATTATAAAAACTTCAAAGTTTCCATCAATATTTCCAAGTCACAGCCATTAAATTATTATTATTGTATGTAGTTTGATACTGTTGAGTTAGGGCAGTTTTTGTTTTGTTTTTTGTCCTTCAGAAACTACTACGAGCAGGGTCAAATGATGTTGATCAGGTTTAGAACTGGATGATCAATAAGTTATGATCATTAATCGATTACATTTAACTAATTGATTATTCTCTCGTGAGACTCGGATAGTTAGAAACACTAATTTCTATTAGTTGTCAATTTTTTGTTTAATGTGTAGCTCGTTGACTAAGCTGAAGAACCTTGAATTAATCAAACAATAATGGTGATAAAATCATAGTATCAATATTTCAATTACTTGAATAACTGGAAACCCCAGTTTCAATTAATTGATTATTTTCTTGACATTAATTGATTTGGTCATAATTTTGAATAATCAGTTATTTAAGTGACATTGATGTAATCGAGTTAATTACCCAGTTTTAAAATGAACGTTATATAGTAGGTTTTATAAAGATAAATAACACTTAATAACTCGTTATTATTATTATATGGTAAATTCTAGATTAATATTTGTTTGATACAATGTTTCTTAAGATGCTGTAATAACTCGTATAATCATACCTAGAGGATACTAAAACTGTTTTATATTACGACTCACTAAATGGTCTTCCTGTAGATAATTCTAGAACTTGATGAACAGAAGAATGAATCTTAATGAAATAATGTTTGTAAAATACAGAAAAACAAATTATTGTACTTACAGCATCAAATATCACTGTTTTTATCAGTTTTGTGTAGTTACTATTGAAATTATAGTCATTGTAAAGTGTGATAGTTGTAAGAGTAGTTACTATTGAAATTATAGTCATTGTAAAGTGTAATAGTTGTAAGAGTAGTTACTATTGAAATTATAGTCATTGTAAAGTGTAATAGTTGTAAGAGTAGTTACTGTTGAAATTATAGTCATTCTGTACTGTATAATAGTTGTAAGAGTAGTTACTGTTGAAATTATAGTCATTGTAAAGTGTGATAGTTGTAAGAGTAGTCACTATTGAAATTATAGTCATTGTAAAGTGTAATAGTTGTAAGATTTTTTGTTTCTGTAGAATGTGAGCATCTGATCCGGCACATGTTAATAGTGGATCCACAAAAAAGGTTTACAATACAACAAATTATCGAGCACAAGTGGATGCAGCAGGGAGGTCCTTATCCCGAGTTTGAAACATTGATAGAGCAGCAAAAGATGGGAGTTTTGGATGAAAGTGAACCAGTTAATGAATTAATCATCGAACACATGCTTCAACTTCCTGGGGTGTCCAGTGAACAAATTGCCAAGGTGATAACAACGAAATAAAGTCGGTAATCTCCAATATTGTAACATTGATGAAGATTTTGGTGTAATGATCTTCAAATTGAATGAAAGAAGCAAATATAACTCACGTTTTAAAAAGAATATGACGACTTAGTATTTAACGACGTGTTTGTTTTATTAATACAAAGACTTAGATCCTTTTCATTGTCACAGTCACACACAAGAAGCAGTGGTTTCCAAACTTTTTTTCACTGATGCCACTCTTAACCCACTTACCTTGATTTGTATGGCGACACCCCTGCTGCCACTCTAACCCACTTACCTTGATTTGTATGGCGACACCCCTGCTGCCACTCTAACCCACTTACCTTGATTTGTATGGCGACACCCTTGCTGCCACATGTTATTAATTATTCTTTGTTTGATGAAACTCTCACGACACCTTTAACAACTTCCTCTGAAGTTTTTATTCAGTATTCTGCCTTGACAGTCACTGTCTAGATGACTATCTGTATTCTGCCTTGACAATCACTGTCTAGACGTCTATCGGTATTCTGCCTTGATAATCACTGTCTAGACGTCTATCAGTATTCTGCCTTGACAATCACTGTCTAGATGTCTATCAGGCCTTGACAATCACTGTCTAGATGTCTATCAGTATTCTGCCTTGACAGTCACTGTCTAGATGTCTATCAGTATTCTGCCTTGACAGTCACTGTCTAGATGTCTATCAGTATTCTGCCTTGACAATCACTGTCTAGATGTCTATCAGTATTCTGCCTTGACAATCACTGTCTAGATGTCTATCAGTATTCTTGAATTATTGGCTGAAATTGATTGTAGAAAGTTCTGAAAGTTTATCAAAAAATCTTCATCACTGTCACAATATTGAACATAGTTATTAACTTAGCTTCATTTTACAATAAATTATTATTTGTTTGATACGTGTAGCTAGCTTGCTTTCATATATTAGGTTCATTGTACAGTAAATTAATATTTGTTTATGTGTAGCTAGCTTGCTTTCATATATTAGCTTCATTGTACAGTAAATTAATATTTGTTTATGTGTAGCTAGCTTGCTTTCATATATTAGCTTCATTTTACAGTAAATTAATATTTGTTTGATACGTGTAGCTAGCTTGCTTTCATAAATTAGCTTCATTTTACAGTAAATTAATATTTGTTTGATACGTGT